GCTTTTTCTTTGTTGTTTAAAAATTCTTGTAGGAACTCCATTTTTGACAACCCTTACGACTTGGACACCATTGTATGCACACCCCATGATGAGTTTATGTGCTCGCCAACTGCTTGAAGTCCTCGGCGGAACGCCACAACTTTGAGCCTTTCAAATCATACACCCTTGTTATCTCATTCTTGGACCAAGCCTTAGTCCATCAAGTCTGCAGCTTCTAGTGGCCTGCCGACCACCTTTTGAGGCTGCCGGCCATCACTTTTGGGCTGCCAGCCATTGTTGTGGCTTGCCGGCAACTAGTATATTTTGTAGATATTTTATGCCAACTGTGCTAACTATTTGCACAGATGCATGCATTTGTCCACACGTGTAGGGCTGGATATCCTTATAGAGAATTTATGTTTTCTATATATAGGAGACCTCTCTCTTATGTTTTGGGATTAAAAAATTTTGAGATCAAAAATTTTCCTCTCTCTCTCTCTCTCTCTCTCTCTCTCTAGCAAATCTCTACACTTTTGCCTATAATTCCTTAACCTTTGCCTGTACACCCTTAACCAAATCTCACCATCTTTGAGCTGAGGTACTTTTGAGTTTGGTTTGAGCTCTAAAGGGTGTGTTTACTTGATTTTGTTTCTTGGAATTGCTCTTCTCTTCAAAAGGTATAAGACTTTGCTTGTAGCTTAGCTTTGTTTGTTATTATTCCTACTATTTTTTCCATTGTTTTTGGGCTATCTAAACTCTGTGTTTTTGGACTGAAGCTTGGGTCCCAAGGCTATTAAAGGTTGAAGGGTTAATAGCCCTTCTTTGTACCTTGTTTTGGAGGCCTTAGCCCTTGTGTTTCCCACTCTTTTACTATCTTTTTCCAAGCTTTTAAACACTGATTTTCAGAGTTTTTTTAATGGCCAAAATCATGTTTTCAAGTTTAAATTTGGAGGGGTTAGCCTCCCCTCCTTGTGTCTTGCTTACTAGCCTAGTTTGTGTAATGTTTTAGCATATTAATCTAGCTATTTTTGGCTCAATTCCAGCATGTTTTAGGACTTGTTTAAGACTGTTTTAGCACTATTTTGGGCTGTTGGTTGCATTTGAGCTTTGTTTTGCATGCTTATAGTGTAATAGTCATCATGAGTTTGGTGTCGTAGGCCTTAGACACCTTCTCCTTTGGGTTGATAGCATTTATTTATATTTTTCTCACTCATTTTCAGCATTAATAAATTCTGCAACCTCCTTTCTTTCTTGGCTTTTTGTTTTGTTTTGAAAGTAGTTCAAACTATTTGTTTGTTTAAAACATGAGATTGAGGTTTCATGTTTAATGGTTTAATCCTTTAGGGGGTTCATTACCAACGGTATGATGTCTCTTTTATGCCTAAGACAACATTTGGTTTGAGCCTTCTTCCCTTTTAGAGGACTTAAACTCATCCCTGGGACTTAATTGATTAAAGCATGGAAAGGTAACTAAAACTTGGAATTAAAAGTGAGCAAGATAATAATTTGGTTGTGTTCAATCGGACATTAATTGAACACATAGAAACTTGAATCATTTCATACTCATTAGTGATGAAATGATTCAAGGTTCCTAGGTCACCACTTCCCTTGATCATTCATGAAAGGGAAGAGGATTGTGTCTTGTTTTGCATTTATTGAACTTGCACACTTGAGTTCACAAGCCATCATGTAATGAAATTGCTTGAGTTGGTGGTTTGTGGCTTAAAGTTCACTACTTTGATTTGCTCATGAAAAGGAGGGGTGAGTTGTGCAAACAAACCCTTGAAATACCCTGTATATGCTCTGTTTGTCTTCTGTTGCAGCAAGAAGAACTGGGCAGCAGTGGCCAGTCGGCCGGCCATCATTGGTGGCCTGCAACCTTCATCACTGGCCGGCCGACCACTGATGCAAATTTCAGCAGTGTGTTTGTAAGGCAGAGCAGAGTAATCTGGAAGGGCAGCAATGTTGGTGTTCTATTGTGCAACAGAGGCTCTCCGGAAGCAAAACAATGGCTTTTCGACTGGAAACTGAGCATGCGCATGAGCATTCTTCGCATTCCAAGCTTGTTTGAGTTTAAATATTTAGATTAAATATTTGTTGTAATTAATTAGTTGTAGCTAATTAATTTTATTCAAGTGTTGTAATAATTAGTTAATTAGAATAGTTAATTAATTCATATGTTGTTGTAATAATTAATTAAGTAATTTAGCTATTTATTCATTTGTTTTTGTAATAATTAGCTTAGCTTTAATTAGTTAACTAGTTAGCTAGTTTATTCGTTTGGACTCTCCTTCGTGAGAGCATAATGCAATAATGTTTATGTCTTCCAATCCCACATTTTTCTCCATTTTATTTACTAGCTTATGATGGTTAGTTTAGGGACATCATGTTTTGTTTAGCATATCTCATGTTTGCATCCATTTGTATTGCATGCACCGAGGCTCGATTCATCATTCTAACTGTATTGTCGTTTAAATACATTCTTTGAATACGTGCTTAGACCGCATGATATTTCAATTGATTCATATGCCATATTAGTAGCCGAGCCTATTAATTGCATATTTGCATGTGTTACATTAGCCATCTTGGATAGTTAGGGATCATGCATTTTTCTAACTCTTTTGTTTATTTTGACTTGGAGTACTAGGTAAGCTTTTATTTGCTTTAGCATATCGCATGTGTGATTGTTGCCATGATTAGTATACTTGCCATGAGGCGAATTGCTTAAGTTCTATAATTGCTTGAATGCCTATGGATGAATGCTAATTGCTTGAATTGGAATAATTTGAGTAATGTACATATGCGATCACTTTTTCAAGTGATACATATTTCGATAGAATTTTCAAAACAAACGTGAATCAAGTGTTCTAATTCTTGCGATTTAGTTTATACTTGTGTGTGCGCATCACATAGTAATGCTAGTCTAATAAACCGGAACAAGAGCATATAATGTACATAAGATTCATATCATGATTAGTAGAGGCCGATCTCTAATCGGGCTAGTGGGAGTGTTCAAATGTATTTATGATCTTACTCTCTCGTACCCAAGTTCCCGGGCTGAGACAATTTTGGTGATAACGGACACGTGGCCTTTGGCATGAGTCATGAGTTTTCTAAATTTTCTAAAAAGAATATTTAGGTGGCAATTCTGTATCTGGCAAAGTAGTCTATTTTTGGCATTTTTGATTCAAAATCGATTTTTTAAAAAATTTGCCGGATCGGAACTCTTTGGTGTTTATCTATTTCACATTGCACTTGTGAAGAACCGCGGGAGTCCGATACTGTAGGGCTTATTTCAACCTCTCGAAAGGGGGGGCGCGAAAAAGTCAAGCTACAATTCTCAATGTTGTTAGAAACTAGAGAGTTGTCATTCTTGAAGGATTCTCTGCTTGTGCTGTCTCTGAAAGGATATTGATGCTAGTAGGCCTGCCTAGGCCAGTAGCAAAGCCTAGGAATCCCCTCGTGGTTGGTCATGGAATGCGAACCCATGGCTTAAGGTGGGGATTTTTAGAGATGACTTGTGGCTTGGAGGCTAGAGCTCCCATCCTTTTGGGGACTTGCACCTTGACCATTGGAGCTTTGCTTGGTTGAGCCAAGGTGACACCGTAAGACTGCAGCAGACCTTCGTGAGTACACATGATCATACCTACCCACTGCAGTGTAGTAGCCGAGCCTATTAATTGCATATTTGCATGTGTTGCATTAGCCATCTTGCATAGTTAGGGATCATGCATTTTTCTAACTCTTTTGTTTATTTTGACTTGGAGTACTAGGTAAGCTTTTATTTGCTTTAGCATATCGCATGCGTGATTGTTGCCATGATTAGCATACTTGCCATGAGGCGAATTGCTTAAGTACTATAATTGCTTGAATGCCTATGGATGAATGCTAATTGCTTGAATTGGAATAATTTGAGTAATGTACATATGCGATCACTTTTTCAAGTGATACATATTTCGATAGAATTTTCAAAACAAACGTGAATCAAGTGTTCTAATTCTTGCGATTTAGTCTATACTTGTGTGTGCGCATCACATAGTAATGCTAGTCTAATAAACCGAAACAAGAGCATATAATGTACATAAGATTCATATCATGATTAGTAGAGGTCGTTCTCTAATCGGGCTAGCGAGAGTGTTCAAATGTATTTATGATCTTACTCTCTCGTATCCAAGTTCCCGGGCTGAGACAATTTTGGTGATAACAGACACGTGGCCTTTGGCATGAGTCATGAGTTTTCTAAATTTTCTAAAAAGAATATTTAGGTGGCAATTCTGTATCTGGCAAAGTAGTCTATTTTTGGCATTTTTGATTCAAAATCGATTTTTTAAAAAATTTGCCGGATCGGAACTCTTTGGTGTTTATCTATTTCACATTGCACTTGTGAAGAACCGCGGGAGTCCGATACTGTAGGGCTTATTTCAACCTCTCGAAAGGGGGGGCGCGAAAAAGTCAAGCTACAATTCTCAATGTTGTTAGAAACTAGAGAGTTGTCATTCTTGAAGGATTCTCTGCTTGTGCTGTCTCTGAAAGGATATTGATGCTAGTAGGCCTGCCTAGGCCAGTAGCAAAGCCTAGGAATCCCCTCGTGGTTGGTCATGGAATGCGAACCCATGGCTTAAGGTGGGGATTTTTAGAGATGACTTGTGGCTTGGAGGCTAGAGCTCCCATCCTTTTGGGGACTTGCACCTTGACCATTGGAGCTTTGCTTGGTTGAGCCAATTGTGACACCGTAAGATCGCACCAGACCTTTGTGAGTACACATGATCATACCTACCCACTGCAGTGTTGAGATACAATCTTCAATGCTCTATACCCACTGTAGACCCATGATATAACCTCCGAGGCTTGAGCTGTTTAATTTAGATTGTTGAATTTAATTATTTCCAATGTCTACCAACTAGTGAAAATCCAATCCTTTTTGAGATGGTTTTGTATTCTGTAAGGGGTGATTTTTTCATTTCATGCATTTGTTATGATTTTCTGAAACAATATTAAAATACTTGAATTTGTTTTTCTAGGGAAGTGAAGAGACAGGAGCAGTGGAGCACATTGCTTAAAAGAATAGGCTGGCGGTAGGAGGACTGAGAAGTGATACTATTGCTTAATTATTAACTAATTTGTAGGATTTTTGTTATACTTTTCACTATTAAGAATGTGAAATCAGTCTGTTTATATGCATGACTTAATTAAATACTAATTTACACTAAATTTCAGATGATAATTAGAAAGCCTTTTCGAATTATGGACCTTAATTAGATGAATGCAACAGTTGCCATTTTTACTTTAGCCTTGTGTTAGATCACGATGGAGCCATTAACTAATATGTGAAAGGTTATTGGAACTTTTGTGTGCACAGATATATTCTATCATATCACTTTTTCTGATTCATTGAAAGAACATTGAGGTTATGTTTGGTTCACAAATTTAAATACAGATTTAAAAAAAGAAAGGAAAAATGTGTGATATGTTACTCTATTTCATTTATCTGTTTTTTTATTTTATTTTATTTATTTTCAAATTCTTATTTATGTTTGGTCCACAAATTTAGATAAGGATTTCGTGGATTTCGTGGATTTCGTGAATTTTCTAGGGATGGCAAATTCAATCTATGGAAAACCATAACACACACAACCATCACTAACTAAAGTGGAATTAAAAATAATAATTGAAGTTTTTTTATATAAAAATCTAAAAGTAAAACAATATCAAAACTCATCAAATCTTAACACACAAAATTATATCTCATTGACAGTAGAAAAGCAACATTTTTAAAAATGAAAAATTCTAATATACACTCCTAGTTATGCCATATTCTTTAGTTATGACTTATAATATATTTAATTATATCTCATGCAATATTTGATTATGACTTCTTTTTTTATTTTATTTTAATTATGACTCAAAAATTATAAAATTATACAATTTTCTTCTTTAGTTATAAGATGCATATAATACACCCTTTTGTGAGGTGTGTAGTCTTTCCATTTAAAAATAAAATTAAAAACATCTGAAACAATAACCCTACCCATAGAATTTTCTACAGAATTTTTTAACATCTTTGGATGAAAAATGACTTCCCAAGTGACTTCAAGTGTTCTTAACCGATGTACTCCATAAATTGGGGTTCATAGAATTTTCTAGAGGATTTTTTAACATCTTTGGATAAAAAAATATTTTACTTACTTTTTGTTCAATCAAACAACAGAAAATGAAAAAAATATTTTTGACAAAAATATTTTACGTTAAAATAAAGGAAGCGTAAATAGATATTTGTAAATTGTGGGACTACTACTAATTCTCTTAATATCAATCATTTGTTGGTTGATAGTGAACTAGCAAATATAGGATTTGTATTTCATAAATAGGATACTAACTTTTTTAAAACTTTCACTATTTTATATCCAATATAAATCACATATAATAAGTCCTATGGGCCCATTGTGTAGTCCATTCCAACAAATTTTAAAGTTGTCAAAATAACCTTGTTATCCAAAACACAACAAGATGTTAAACACATGAGCTGGTTGTTCTTCCTTTGGTCGTGGCTTAAAAGCCAATCTTATTGGTTTTTCAGCCAAATAAGTCAATAAGTTGTAGCCTCATTTCGCTATCCACTTGGCCGGAAATAGCAAAAATTTCATTAAGCTTATTTTAAGTTGAAAAGACAAATAAGTTGAAAACCAAATAAGTGAAACCAAACACGCTAATTTTTTTAAGTACATCTACTAAAACATGTGTTTTCAAATTTTAAGATCACTAAGTTCGAAATAAGTGGAAACAATGAAGCACATTAACTTACATAAAGCATTCAATCAAAACTTATGATAAGCCTAAATTTGTTCGCATAGGTTCCTTCTAAGCCCATATGAATTCTTATCGTGCCCCTGTTCTACTTTATTCTCTAGGATTTTCTAAAGTATTTTTCCTGTTTGCTAGAACTCATTGACGAAATTTTGATAATGGCTAATTTTGTGTCAAGTTGGGGTTAATAAATGCATGCTATGTGAAGCAAGCTTGAAGTGCTGGTGATGTCAGGGAAGTTATGAAAATTAAGAGCCTCAATTGTTATTTTGAGAGGGTTAATCCGTCCTTGAATCTAGTTTTGGACTGTGTAGAGTCCTTGGAGTCAGCATTTTTTAACATAGAGTTGTCTCATCTTTTTGTGTACAGGTTGGGCACCCCCTTGGTTCCTTTGTTTATATAATATGCCTTTTTAACTGATATATATATATATATATATATGAATCTAGTGTCTTGAAGAGAATAATTAAAAGAAAAATAATAGTCTAGCATCTACAATTTTTATTAACTATGCACTCTCAATGTAACAGAAATAACTGGAAAAAAGTTTTGAAAAATAAATGTTTCAGATTTAATAATTTTTGCACACAACTTTTTGCTAATTTGCTCACTCATACAAGTGGAATTATTAGAAGAATTATTATCGCACATTGACGCTTAAGCTTTGTCTTTGAGCTGTAATTTGGTTCCTTAGGAACTAATATGTTTAATATTTTGGAAGCTTATGTTTAAGATTAAGTTTGCAGTGTCTCTCTTGTCTTATTGTTTTGGATCTATTATTTGAAATGTTGGTGAGCTCAACTTTCTTATTACAGTCACCAAGAAGTTGATAAGATTCTTTAGTTTAATTGAAACATGATTGTATATGCATATATACAGTATATGTTATTTGGATACGGTGTATTTTGAGTGTGACTATGAGCATTAAAGTCATCTAATGCCCAAGCACAAGGACACCAGATCATGGCTAAATATTCATATTTCTTCTTTGTTTCCTTTAGTAAAATGATATTTTTATATAGCATGCAGCATTAAGCATGTTGACTTTACTCATGGTGAAACATTTACGTCACAAAAGTAACATTATAGGGGACTTCATTGCAATTATGTGGTAAACTTGGATTGCTAGTCATGCATGCTGGGTGCAGTTCCAATTAGATATGTCGAGCACATTCACCATACCCTTGCCTTGGTGTCATGTATCCTGACATGTGTACAATCCCGCTTCTTAAAACTTCATATTTTGCACTTGTGTTGTGCGTGAGTAGCAAAATATGCCATTGTTTATGGTTTAGACAAAAGATTCATAGACACAATGTTAGCATGATAAAATAAATAAAAAAATTTAGACCTTAGGAATGAGCTCTACCCAAAAAATATTTTAGATTTGAAAGATGAGACACAGTAAGTATGATGACTTGGAAGCATTCTTACTTATCGCTAAGGAACTTGTCTTTAAGCTAGCACTTTTTAAACAATCTCCCTACCCACTTTGTTTTTGTTTCTGGGTTTACTTCACAGAACTTTGCTGTGCAATTTGTAGGAATGTAGTTTGTATGCCATCTTGTGAATTGGGAATGGTGTCTCTCGTTGTAAGGAGGGGTGGTTTGGCTAGGGGGCTAGGCTAGTAAAGCACTTAAATTTAGTTCTGGTATGTGGTTGTGTGAAGTATTTTTTTTTTTTTTTTAATCAGCAAAAAAGAGACTTTATTGATGTAAAAACTAGTACAAGGTACAAAATAAATTACACCAATAAAGAAAAGAGGAGTGCGGGAGCATCACAATGAGCTAAATGATCCCAACTAAGTTGGCACCAAAAAGCCCATCCTATCATTTGCTAGCACCCCCAAGTTGGTGAGGAACCAACGAAAGAGACAGACCAAAACACCAAACCAATGCTGCTATGCTGCTAGACATCATCTGCTAGACACCAGCAGCAGCCATTCTCATATCAAAACACCAAAAACAAAGAGCAATAGAGAAACAACCAGACATAGCAGAGGGTGGTTTCCCTTGTGGATGCAAACCATGGGCAGAAAGAGTAAAATCTCCCCCTCTCTCTCTCTCGTCTCATGTTCATGTTTTGGACATTTGGAAAGAAATACCTTTCTGTTTTTTTCTTGAAATGATGCCCACACTTCTCTTCCAGCATCTCACGGTCTTTTTTTTTTTTTTTTGGTGATGAGTAAAATGTTAAAAATGTTGCTTTGGCTTTATGAGGATATTCTATTTACTTCTTTGGGGTTTATTATTTTAGGGCAAATTACAAACACCCCACTCGAGATTTGGTAAAAATACAGATTCCCCTGAGGTTTGAGAAATTACAAATTGTCCCCTGAGGGTCAAATTTTCATAACAAATTAGGGGAAATTAGGGGGGAATCTGTATGAAAATAAAAACCTCAGGAGGCTATTTGTTATGGAAATATAAACCTAAGGGAGCAGGATGTAATTTCTCAAACCTCAAGGGAGAATCTGTATTTTTACCAAATCTCGGGGAGGGTGTTTGTAATTTGCCCATTATTTTAGGGCTAATGCACAGTAGCCGAAGCTATCTGTGGGTATGATCCTCATTCTCATTTTTGCTGAAGCCCTTGCTTTCTACAGTCTCATTGCTGGGATCATTCTCTCATCCCGAGCCGGCCAATCTCAAGCAGATTAAAATCGCCAAGCCTGTGATTTTCTTGAATTCTTGAATTGTAATCTAAAGTTGGAGTCATCGGCTGTTATGCTATTTTTAAATTTGATACTTTCATGGGATATCATTTTATTATCTGAGTTCTGTGGTGGATATTCTATAGATATGTCTATATTGTTTTTATAGATGCCTTTTTAAAAGGATGTTATATTGTAAGGAACCTTTGTGAAGGTGTTTATTAAAAGTGTTTCACTATTGTGGTAATGTTTATATTTACTATTGTCTTTTTATAAATAAAATTTGCATACTATAAATGAAAAAGTTCTGACACATTCTCAAAATGTAAGTAGATTCACTACAAAAAAACCAAGATTTATTAGCGGCCAAAACTATCGCTAAAAGTAAGAAAAAACGTCGCTAAAAACTAAAACACCTTTACCCGCGGTTGCAATAATGGCGGCCAAACCGCCGCAATAGCCTCATCAGCATATCCTTATAGTGACGTTTTTCGCAAACGTTGGTATAGTTATTTTTATTGCGATGGTTGATGTAGTGGCAGTTACAAATGTCGCTATACCTTGAATTTACCAATTACTTGCTAACTTTATAGCGACGGGTCGACTGCTACTATATCCTTCACTTTTGCGACATTTTGTAAACCGCTGCTATATTTTGACTCTATTCCATCAGTTTTACACTGTCGCTATAACCATAGAATTCGTTTTGAATTTTATTTATAGCGACGGTTATTAACCGCTGTTGTAGGCTATATTTTACTATTCAATTACCAATAATATATAATTTGAAATTTATAATGGTTTGCCAGCCATTATCCCTACTTACATAATCACCATTAATTTTATTTACAGCGACGGTTATTAACTGCTGTTGTAGGCTATTTTTTTTTTTTTTGGGGGGGGGATGAATAAAGTCATAAATAAAATGACAAAAAACTACAAGATACAAGAGGTATACCCTAAGAGCCAACCAACTATACAAAGACACATAAACCAGAAAACAAAAAAAGACAATCTAGACAGCAAAAACCATCCTGTTCACACACCACATAAGCAAAGAGCAAATAAGGGCAAGAACAAGGCAAACAATACAAAAAAAACCTAAGAGCAACATAACCTGGTTACATTGAAAAGATCAAAACAACAAAAGGAATTAGAAACCAAAACCCAAAAGGCCATATTACAGGGACAATTTGATTACAAAATGATCAAAACAGACACCATAGCCCTGCTCACATTATATATCTATAACGACACTATTTTATTCTAATGGCTCAATACTCAATAATTATAAAAGATAAAAGAGTCTACATTTTCATAATCCCAAAATATCCAAAACACCTTAATTAAAAGGTTCATTACATAAGCCTGTAATACAACAAAGATCCAATGTTTCTAGCAAACTAATAGCCCACACCATAATCCAAAAGAAAAACTTGTCACATAACAATAGTACTCAAAAGTATTACTCATGACGCCATTTTATAAAGATCTCCATGAAAAATGTTCAAATCGAGAAATGACGTCCATTGTTTGATACTTCATATTATCTTATTTCCTGCAATAAAAATAATTGAATGAGCATAAGTATCATTTTCAATTTTAAAATCTATAAAGAAAATTTAGACTACAAATAATTCTCGACAAGTCTTTTTTTTTTTTTTTTGGTAAGTATATGGTTTACATATCAAAAAATAAAGATTACAATGAAGTTGAAGCTCATAAAGCCAAACATTAGTAGCAGCCACCAAATCAAGCAACCACTAGCAACATCCAAGGGTCTATTTTTAATTGTATATTACAGTTTGATACGTTGCTGATATTCAAATTTGTTCGATTGCCCAATTCTCTATTTCATTGGTTTGTTTGGTATTTTTTCAGATGCCAATAAAGGAAGCAAAGTAGAGAAGTCAACCTATCAAACCCCAATTTTGTCCAAACTAACTAACTAACAATTTATTGGTAAAGAAGTCATTAACAGTGGTTCTAAATTTGTGTCAATGTATGTGTATTGTAATGATGACTTACCTCGATTAGAAGGTTGAATTTCATGACTCCCAAAAGAGGATCTTTGATGTGTTCGTGGAGAAGCTTGGTCCGAAATGCCACTAGATCCATCTGTCGCCTAATTTATACAATAAAATTTACATTAGTATGCATAAATTTAGAAAATGATAACATATGATAAATACATCATATAAAAGAATATGTTATATGTAGTTATACCTGCAAACCACTAGAACTATGTCTCTGACTCGTCAAAAATGCTACTTGCTCTTTTAAAGAGTTTATTACAGCATCTTGAGCTTGCAACTAAATACCTTGAGTTTGCAACTGATCACCTTGAGTTTTTAGTTGTTCCTTCAACTCAATTATAGTGTCTTTGTCTCTCATTCTCTCTTCATCAGAAACCATTCTTAAGTGGTCAAAATTATTACACATGAAGCCATGCTTGGAAGGAATAGGCCCAAATCCTAAACCTCGAACACGACCATGATGCTCTTTACCCATCACTTGAGAATAAATATCATTTGGTGACCAAGATATACGTCCACCAACATTTCCTTCGGAGCTGCTTGGTTGTGAGCTCATCAAAGCTTCTAGTTTTTCCTGTAGCATAAATGGGGGGAAAAAAATAAGACGACAAAAAGCGAGAGTGATTGTTTGCCACAAACACATTAGAATTTTGAAAATGTAACTTATTAAATGGGCATACAATTTTTGTAGCTGCTGCTTCATTGACTGGTGTCCCATCTTTCCTTTTGTGAAGCGGTATATATAATTTTGCTCGATCTAGTGCAATCTTATCTTTTTGCTCCTATGTAACAATCATATCGTTTTGAAATACCATATCATATGCATGTTGTGCATAAGTTTTAGATCCTCCTGTATGTGCACTTGTTTGCTCTCGCCTGCTTTCCTTATTGGTTGTAATAAGTTCCTTCACTCATAAATGCATAACAATATGTTAAAAAAAAAAATGATATAATGGCATTGTATTATTTGATAGAAAACATACATCTATGCATACCTGTCCTTCCTTTGAAAACCAATACGCGACAAGGTCAGCATAGTGTTCATGGTTAACTGTTAAAGGCACAGTAGCTACTATCTGTGCTTCTGTCTTTGTCTCATCATAGTACTTTGCTTTTAAACTACATCTCCAATTTCTCCATTTCTCTCCCATTGACTGCAATGTTTGATGCCTAATCATATCCCTTCTCTCATCTTGTGGAATGGCAAACTTGGACTACAATTGTATGTTTTTTCATGTTATGAATATTCTTAAAATTATCAATACAATAATATAAACTAAATTTGTGCATTTCTTTGCCTAATTCTCATATTTTTACATGGAGATAATGAACCACACTAATTTCATACTTCTTACTTCTAGACGACACCTATATCCTAATACAGGAAAGGAACTTTCAGACAATCCTAACAACAAACGTATGTCCTAAAAAGATTTATTCAATGAAGAAAAGCCTCAGCAGTTATATAATCAAAGATTTGAAAATTGTGATCATTCTACCTACATGCAGAAGCAGAGGAGTTAGGAATTCAGAAATTGAAGGACTGCCTATTGGGAACGTTTTGAACTGCTTTATAGATTAAATTCTGGATTTTAATTTTTTTCTTTTCTAGGATGAGTTCTGATTTTTTGGGGGGGTAACATGTTATGTAGAGCGAAAGAAAAAAAATGAAAAGCAAGGTGGCTTAGATTCATAAGCAAACAAAAGAATGAAGTGACGATTGAAGCTAAATGAGAGGAAATCATTATGAAGACAGGAAATGGAACGGATACATTTCAAAGAAGCTTCTCAGTGCCTTGGATGTTAAAGTTGTTTGTCCTGGTTATATTGAAAAAAAGCCAACCTTTTGTTTTCATTTGTAAATCCTGTGCTCATTTTCTGTCAATCTGCTCAGAAAATCAGTGTATTATTGGTATTGTCTTATTGTATATTGATATGAACAGCATATTTGATTTTGGATTAATGATAATGATATGATCAACAATGTGTTATTTGTTGTGTAAGAAAATTGAATCTTTGATTGTGCTTTTTGAAGGTCATTTGCAAATAAGCAACATATACATGAACATGCTGGTATTAGGAATAGAAACCAAATTAATGATTCAATTATAACTTAAATTTGTTATAAAATCTAAGATTGTAGTTGAAGTTAATACAATTTTCTTTACAACTGTAGTAGAATTATCACAGAATATTTGTAGTTAGAAAATTACCTCGATAATATTCCAACAATCTTCTTTATACGGATCTGGCACTTGATGCCAATTCTTGTACTTAATTGGGCATAAGTGTGGCTTCCTAGCAATGGTGCCTATGAAGTGACTGAATATACCACCCTCTATAGAAACAACCTGCAAATCCTTGTTGAAGGTGAGCATAATGCGTGTTCTTCTGGAGTCAAATTCCACACTTCAACCATACATGTAATTCCCCGAGTGTTTCGCTTGGTCGATTCATCTATTACAATACAACAATGAAATATATCATGGAAGTTAAGGGTGACTTGTAATTTGTACCTCAACTAAAAATCTAATAATACCTGTACGTTGCATTTCTTCTTCCCTTAACCAGTCCTCATCTAAATCATCTTCAAACTGAGGGTTAACCTTTGATTCTTGAGGTTGAGGATGTGGAACATGTGATGGAGCATGTGAGGAGGGATGTGACCAACTAGGTTGTGAAGAGCCATTTGATCGACTAGGCTGTGAAGTTCCATTTGGCCGATTAAGCTGTAAAGAGGCATTTGAACGACTAGGTTGTGAAGTTCAATTTGGCCAGTCCAGCTGTGGAGAGCCAATTGAGTGACTAGGTTGTGAAGTTCCACTTGGGGCGTTAAGTTGTGAAGGGTTATTTAGTTGGCTAGGCTGTGAAGAGTTATTTGACTGGCTAGGTTGTGAAGAGCCATTTGATCGCTTATTTTGGGACTCATTCTCAAGATTGCAAGTTCTAAATCGTTTCTTTGCCATATCTGCTAGATAAAGAATAGATGTAATTAATCAAACACAAAGATATTAATCAAATTAAATGAGTATTTATCATAGTATACTAAAGATATTAAAGAACATAAGCCATAGGAAAAGCTCATATACACCTCACAAGATTATTTTCTTTTTCTACTTCTAAGGAGATTTTCTGTACATAATGCATGGAAAGAGGAACAGATCTATTACAATGGTGGATTGAGTATAAATTTAGAATCTTGGAATGGAAAATATGGGATGTGTTTCCTTTTGCTGCACTGTGGTATTTGTGGAGCAGCAAAATGATTGTAAGTTCATTGGTTCTCAACTAAGGGTGTGTGGGTGAGAGGTGTGGTTAGAGGTAGTCCGGGAAGATGGCGGGCACTTCAATGGCTTGGGATCACCGGAGGTGGAGAGGAGGAGGCCAAGGCAAGCTTGGAGAGGGAGAGGTTGGCAGTGATAGACCTTTGAACACTAATGTAAAGTATGAGAGAGTGTTTTTAGCATGAGACTTAGGCTAAGTTTGGGTACTCCCAAAAAAGTCAAAAAGCCAAAAAGTTACTCAAAAAGTTAAAAAGTTAACACTATTCACTAAAAGTCAACAATTACGGCTGCACAACTCCCAATTCAAATTTTCCTCTACAAACCAATTTTTACAATTTTTTATTACACATTTTTCAATAAAAAGTCAAAAAGTTAACCCAAACATCCATATTTTCAATCTCAATTTTTTAGTCCAAAAAGACAAAAAGTGCACTTATTTAGGAGAGTGTTTTAGCATGAGACTTGGTTGTATTGTTGTTGTTGTGTCTCGCTGCATATACGATACGTTATATAGGCTGCAGGAGTATTGGAGCCCAAGCAAACTGTTGGACAGGTGGCTCGTTCTCCTCAACTCTGCCAGAAGTGATATAAGCCCTTCTGCCGTCTGTGGCTTGCCGGCAGGCGGAGAGCAATGTTTCGTGGCAAGCAGAAAGTAACGTTTTGTATATGCATCGGATGACATGAACGTAAGGTCATTGTTGCCTCTTCTCCAAGCATGGTCGAGATAGAGTTGTCTTAGCAAGAAGACAACTATCTCGACGATCCCATGACCTCAGCCACCAGTCCAGTATCCTCTGATGATCCCGAGCAGTGGTGCCTGGGTCCTGCTCCCAACCCAGGCATCCAAGTAGATAAATGGGTCAGGGCCCACCTTAGTGTTTAAGAGAGCCAAGGGCTCGCTTCCAAGTGACCAAGTAGGAGAATGGGCCGCGGGCTTAGCTCAACGTTTAAGAGAGGGGCTCGCTTCTGAGCGATCAAGAGAATGGGCCGCGGGCCTATCTCAATGTTTAGGAGAGCCATTGTTTATCAATCCGAGTACAAGTGAGCCGGGGGCTGATTGTATTGTTGTTTGGCCTTGGAGCTAGGTATGAAGGACCATGGGCCCTGCGGGACCATGGTGCTGCCTGTTGCAGGCCTCTTTATATCTAGATATATTTGGGCTTGTATATATGCTCCCGCTTAGGCTAAGCATATAGTTTTGGTTGCCTTAGCACATGGCGCCCATAGGGCTCGCCATGTATTAAACATACGACATGCCAGACGTGGTGCCTTATTCGTCTGCCACATAGGTGGGGTTTTGGTGATGTGGCACCTGGAATGGAAAATATGGGATGTGTTTCCTTTTGCTGCACTGTGGTATTTGTGGAGGGGCAAAATGATTGTAAGTTCATTGGTTCTCAACTAAGGGTGCAGTCTCTAGTAAATGGTGTTTGATTGTCTTGGTATGGTTGTAGGGGTGAAGAAGGTGCCAATCCAGAGTCTACTCTTGATTTTTTGGCAAAACACTGTCAATGGGCTGTGGTGACATTAGGGCCTAATGGATGCATTGCAAAACATGGAAAAGAGGTCAGTGATATGTTATATTTGTCTCCTCTTCCATAGTTTTGGTTATTAGAAATATTAATATATAACCTGGTTATATATATAAAATCCGTGGAACTTTGAAAGGTAACTATTCCATGGAATCTTATAATAATCTCTCTTTTAGTATATAGTAAGTCTACAAACACAGATCTAACTACAGAAACAGGTCTAAGTACAGAACATTAGCACTAAAAAAGTGCACTTTTTTATTTTTTTACTTTTTGGTAAGTAATGGATAGAATCTCATTACCTCTTTCAGATTGTTCGGGTTCCGGCAATTCGGGAGGCAAAGGCAATAGATGCCACTGGAGCAGAGGACCTGTTTGCAAGTGGGTGTTTTTACAGATTGGTAAAGGGGCTAAACCTAGAGGAATGCCGCAAAGTGGGCTTATGCAATGGTGGCTCTGTTATTCGGGCTCTTGGGGGTGAGGTCACACTAGAGAACTGGCAATGGACGCATAAACAAATGCAGACCAAGGGCCTCACTGTCCCTAGTAGTGATGAGTGATATCTCCTGTCAAAGAGGATTTTTTTAGGGTTTGGGTAATCATTATTGCTATTGTTTCATGAGTCAATGTTATTTGGCATTAATGATAGGCCAAATCAATTAACTAACCATGAACTAATCAATATTTTTACAGACCATAAGATTTAAACACTGAAGCCAAGCAAAACTGTACACATTTTGTGCCTTTCTTCACCAATAATACTAACCATTTAGGTTCAAAGTATGAATCAAGGTGTGATCAGTAAGATAGATAAAGAGACATGCTTGCGGATAAAGAACATGACATGACAAGGTTCAACATAAGCAAATATAGCATGACAAGGTTAAACATAAGAATTTGCCTCTGTGATGTTCATGTAAAATTGGTGAACACTGAGAAAATCCTCAAGGTACTTTAAGTGGCAAATGTGGGGCCTAACCTGGGACCAATACCTTATTTGTAAGTAATATTCCTTTTTGTGGGACCTTTTGGTCATTTAAAAAATATTTATAAAAACCTGAGGGCTCTCTCATAGGCTCTTTTGATGTACATGGGTGGCATCCCCTTGATGCTAATTAATGTAGTTATTATTTACTAAATAAATAAATAAATGGTGTAGGAATTTACATAGGCTACAATACATGTATACAAATATGTATGTGCATGTATACATATATTTACGTCTCGGAAGTCGTAGAAGTTCACTCTCAATTAGATCATAATTTTAACCACCAATGGTTATATTCAGAAGATGCCCAAACAAAATATGAGGTAAACAAGGATCTGCAAATGTTAACTACACAGATCAAACCCATGCATATGATGAGAGAGAGAGAGAGAGAGAGAGAGAGAGACCTCAAACAAAGTTAAATCACCACCACCAGTTATGTTCCAGACAATTCCAGTGGCCCTCTCTATGCCAATATCTAATAACGGTGATTGAACGGCATTTAATGCAGCATCTCTTGCTCTGGACTTTCCTACACAAGAACAAATACCACAAGATAACTTAGAGAAGTTTGGCCACTCATCCTATTTCATCAGACTAAAACAAAGCCAAAAGCAAAATGCAGAAAAAAAATAAAACAAAAATATATCTATCCATACATTTTCCTTTCTTGGCTTAATTAAGGTTACTTATATTACTTTTTTTTTTTTCTTTGATCGGCAAACGAAAAGCTTTATTCATGTAAGAATCAAGTACACAGTATAAAAAACCCTCAATAAAGAAAAGGAAAGTACAAAAGCATCATAATGAGCTAAATCCTCCCAACTAGATTTGCACCAAAAAGCCCATCCTATCATTTGCTAGCACCCCTAGAGTTGGTGAGAAACCAACGAGAAAACAAAGCAAACCGAACACCTACAAAACCAAACAGACTACTGCCAAAAAGCCCAGCCTATCATAATCAGACCGACCACTAAAACAGAATACATTAACTGAGCAGCCACCAACCAGTAAACAAAAATTGAGCAGACCAACAAAGCTAAGCAGACCAACCACTACAAGAGACCAAACAGAGCAGACAGCAGCTAAACATAAACAGGACAGCAGCAAAGCAAGCCATACAGCAGCAGCAGCAGCAGCAGCAGAGATTCACCACAGTAGCAAAAACCTCTATTGCATTGAGATTTCATCAGCAAAAACAGTACTGAATTAGTACTCTATCACCCCAAAGCAAAAGGCCATCACTACAACATTGCACTCAGCAGCACCAAGGATCACCACTAAACATATCCGGACAGCACTCAACAAACCAGTACTCACCCCAGTAGCAAAGAAACCTCTATTGCATACAGCAGCAAATAATCATCACTACGCACCATCCAGCAGCAGCAGAGGTTCACCACAGTAGCAAAGAAACCAGCAGTAAACAACTAAGGAAACAGAACTGGTGCCTTGAAGACCAGCAGTAGACAACTAAGGAAACAGAACCAGCAGCCTGAACCACAAGCTAAGAACTCTGCAGCCTGATGGTAATGCACACTCAAAACTGGTGCCTAACATTCCAGCAGAAACAGCAGCCTTATCCACACTAGCAAACTTCTACCTTACAAACCAGCACCTGAACTGGTGCCTTGAAAACCAGCCCAGAACTGAAACACAACAAACCTGCTACTAGCAGACTAGAAGCACCAATGCAAACTTAGAACTCTGCAGCCTGAAGCTAATGCACACCAAAATTGGGGCCTAGTATTCCAGCAGAAACAGCAGCCTTACCACAATAGCAGTCTTCTACCTTACAAACCAGCACCTGAACTGTTGCCTTGAAAACCATCCCAGAAACATACCACAATAACTCGGATCTCACACCAGACCACAATAACACAGATCAAACAACACAGGGACGGATCAGAAAGAAACAGAAATTAGCTAGACAGTAACCTTAGCCAAGGCAGACTAAAACCTGTTGAAGATGATGTACAATGTCATTGACTGTGTTACTTATATTACTTAATTCAGATAAGTATTCAGTGCTACCTTCAACATATTTAATTTCTTATAGGAATTCATAATATTAAAATTTAAAACCTTAGAAAAACATTTAAAAAAAAAAAAAGGATCGTAATTAAAATCTAGCCACTGAAGAACACAATAAAAAATTGATTTGGCCTATCATTAATGCCTTAAAAATCCCTAGGGATAGTTTGAGCACAATAATTTGACTAGAATTTTGAGCAGGCTGAATGTAATCATATCAAAATCGGACAGTACATAGTTCAGGTTAGGTAAGCACAGCACCAGTATTATGGTGCAGATGCCCAGAGGCAACACATTAAACTGCTCTGTAAGAAAGAGGCTCCAACACATCCACATCATCCCAAGTGTTGTTAGTAAACTCCTTAGTTCATTAACATAACATGACACAATAATAGTACTACATTCAGACAGGTGCGGACATACATGACTATACTAATATAAAAAAGCACTACACAATTTAGTGTAGGTACACATAATTGAATTATTTGTATATGACTTTTCATGTATATCTTTTCCTAAAATAGAACTATTTTATATTGATACGTTTCATTTTTTTTTTATTTGTTTTCTTCGATTTCATTTTCACAATTTATGTAGCATTTTAATTTTTATGAGTTTTGATTTTTTTTACCCTATCGACCCCATTTGATGGAACATAAGGCTTGCTTAGTTTGGTTTGGTTATGATTTTTTACTGTCTTTCACATGCACATGCAAATACATAGTGAAAGTTTGGTTGTTGAAGATTAAGAAAAATCTCTTGTACAATACATTATATGGTTTAAACTCCATGATTAAATTTAAGTATTACATAATAGATAAAAAAAATCTCTAATATAATACACTATTTCTAAGAAAATACTACAATTCTACCTTAGTACATAAAATTTTAATGAATTAAAGGGAAAACAATAACATTGAAAAAGTAATCTATACTAAACTTGAGGCACATCGATTTGTGTCCAGATTAGGGATTCAGCTTGTATTTGAGTAATTACAACATGCAGCATTCTACTCATGTAATGTATACAATGTACACGTATAGGTTTTTTAGTATCTGTGTTTCGTAGTTAATAATGTGTCAAGAAAACAATCAGCTGCAAAGCTAAAGCTATTAGCGAATGGGTCCAACAATATATATCAAACTCTCAAAGAACTTCAAGTACTGCATACATAGTTCATTTCTAATCTCACTCTTCTTTCGTCAGTTAAATCACATTCTTCTGCAACACCATTTATGCATGTGAACCAGACAAGTAACACCAAAGTAAATGATAATAAGCAGACCTGATGTGAAAGAGAACTGTATAGGAATAGATGACATCAAGATCATCAAGTTCTAGACACTAAACAGAAACAACTTAACTTGTAATATTAAATGTTTAGCACAACCAATATCAAGAAAATTAATTCACAAGAAAGTCACTAATTAAGTGCTTCCCCTCCCAAAAAATTAATATTTTTTGTTTGCAGATACATGAAACAAAGAAGTAATAAACCAATAAACAATCAACATTATCCTTAAAAACTAACATTCCAATCCTGCAGCAACAAATTCCAACACTAATTTCAATCAAAGCTCACAACATAGCAGAGATTCACAGCTCAAGATGGCATAAATAACATACCATAGTGCAAAAATAGTAACCGACGGTGGTAAAATAAAATGACATCATTCGGAAGAAATCAAAAAGCTGCCCAAGTCTCCCAAATGGATAACTCTCAAACAGCCTAATGGATAACTCTCAAACAATGAAACCTAGTTGTGCAACCAGTACACCAGGAGCCGCCCCATTGCAGCTGCTCCATTACACATCTGGATGTACCCAAAGCATCAATGACAGCAGACCAGTGCAGAACAGCAGAAGCCAACCACAAACCACAACCCCCTTACTATTAACACTACCTCCCACCCTTACAGTCATGCATAACAGAGTTTAACAGACAGAGTTGAGAAGCCAAGAATTCAGACCAGTTGCAAGACACACCAGAAAGCATAATACCAATTATGCACACCAAAAGGCACACCAGAAAAAATTTGAATATTTGTATTGTTTGAATATAAATTTTCAAACAAAAATAAAATATTTGAATATAAACCTCAGAACAAAAATAAACTACAAAACAACAATGAATGGTGTCCGCAAATTTTCTGTGATGTGCATCCCAGAATTTTTTTCCCCCTGATTTGAGTAAAATTTCCCCCTATTATGCCAGCTCACAAATAAGAGTGCCTTGGTGACAGAAAGAAATATGGTTCTAAGGGATTGTTTGGCTTAGCTAAAAAGTCACTAAAAAAAATCATAAAATCATAAAAAAGGTCAAAAATTCCTTCCATTCTCTCTACTATTTTCATGTTTTTGTATAGAAGTCAAAATCATTCCCAAACACTAATTTTTTTCACCTCATATTTTAACTAAACAGGCACTAAAAAGTTGATTTCCAAACAGACCCTAATTTCTATGACAAATTATTGCGAGTGTTTGAAGAACTAAAGGTGGTTATGCAATATATCCATCAGGACATGACAAGCCGTAGCACCCACAAAACATCCCCAACCCCAAGAAGACAAAAGCTGAACTTTATATTTATATGTTAATGGAAACATCTAGTGGGTTCACTTTCTCAAATAATAATATAAGGAGATATATGTACATGAGTATCAGTTATGTCACCATTGTTGTTCCAGAAAGAAAACTCCTTGTGCAAAATTGTAAATTTTTTTGTTTGAGAAAAACAGTGGTTTTGGCTGCTATAAGTTATTCCATGTTAAGTGTTTCTACAAACTCTCTGTTGCAGTTGACTTAGTGGTGATGCATTCTCCTCAGTATTCTCTTTTTTAACATTCTTAATTTTATTTCCTTTTTCTTTTTTCTTGGTTTATTTTTCCCCTTGACTCTCCTTAATGGAGGTAATTAAATGGGATAATCTGCCAAGGTGTTATAGAGATTGGGTTGATCTCTATGGCTGGTTAATCTCAATCTTTGAATTTTTGTTGAACATACTACTGGTTAATCTCAATCTTCTTCGAATTTTCATTGAAAATACTATAGATGAACTGATTATCAACATATAGTGTTAGCATTTTATATTTAAAAGTTCTCTAATATCATACGCATCTATTTAATAGACATATAACAACAACCATGGGAATTCCCCAAAAGAGATAGTCAAGGGATGTCCTCTGGGCTCATTGCTTCCCAAAGGGGCTAGTCAAGGGATGTCCTTTGGGTTCATTGCCCCTTGTAGATTTCTGATGTGTGACTCGGCACATGGAAATTCAGGTCGGGGTCAGTACATACATATATTGAATACCAACAATTTTTTTTTTCTATTTTCTAAATTATTTTCCCAAATCAAAATCATTCAAGATGTTCATGAAATCCTTCAAAGTAGAGAAGTTTTGGAGATATTAGAAGCATTGAATGGAGTGGCAAGTCGTAGATTAACAATGAATTTCATTGACCCAAACTTGACCGAAGACAGTATAGGAAAAACATAAACAGAGATAGTAGAAGAAAGGGAGAATGGCAAAGAGATAAACCGAGAGACAAGAAGAAAGAAAGGGATAGAGAAAGAGAAACAGAGAAAGCAAACTGACCTTGAAATCACAGTGGGAGGATGATGAATGCTGCGGGGAAGGATGAACGCCGATACGTCGCCACAGGGGAGGATGAACTCTGATACTTCACCAAACAGGGGTGGTGGACTAGGGCACAAATTGTGAGTTGAACGGTTTTTATTTTTTTTTTGGACTGAAATTCTGATATGTTATCCACTCCCCAAGAAAAAAAAATCTGATTTCGCGCAAAATCAGAGTTTGATTTGGCGGGCCTCTATTTTGATTGGCTTTTTAGTAGCGGTTGTGTACAAACCGTCACTATTAAAAAATATATTGCAGCGTTTTAGGCAAAAAATGTTACTAAAAATTTAATTTTTAGTTGTGGTCAATAACCGCTACAATAGCCCATCTATAGCAGCATTTTTTAGGCTGCTGCAATAAAAAACGCTGCTAAAACCTGATTTTCTTGTAGTGATTTTCAAAATTATAGAAAACAAAACAATTATATGCTTTTACAATATTTTATTTATTTTTGAAAGAACTTTTACATGTTTTGTAAATAAGTTTTCATTCTTTCGTCTTTTTCAATGACTTTTTATGAGTGGGTCCAAAACTAATCCTGTACAACTCACGGGACAATCCAATGATAGGAGGGATTAACTTTGCTCAAAAGCTAAATAAAGAAATTGAAACTGTTAAAATAAGTCGCATGGCAATTTTACATCATAACTATGATATGCATTAAATTCCATTGGATTTTTATTTTATTTTTTTTCTTTTCATTAAATTCCGGCCGCAACACACTAGAGAAGAAAAAAGTTGAAAAATCGAACAATAAAAAGCAAGAAAACCAGAAAATTCCCAACAAAATATAGCTCAGAAATTGTTAGTAACCTCCTCTTCCTTTGTGGCAATCACTCCGACACGGATTCCGCCTTGAGCACCTCTCCATTGGTACCTCGATTGGCACACTGCTGAGAAGCATTTTGATCGAGGCAAAACAAAAGTAACAAGAACATGACAACTTGATGGCGCGCCTGAAGAGTATCGATGGCAAGCTCATTTTGAATCGCAAAGAGCTTGATGTCACTCGGCAAATGATTGAGTAGAAGATGAAAAAGCCCTACAGTTGGTTTAAATTATCTATCTAGTTCTAGTTCTTGTTTTTTTATTTATTTTTTTATTTTAAATGAACAATGGTCGTACTGGCAAACTTTCTTTCTAGTAACCTATTTCAATAATGGCATTAGAAAGTTTGTCAGCACGACCATTGTTTATTTAAAACAAAAAACAAAAAATCAAAAACTAGAACTAGAACTAGATAGATAATTTAAACCAACTGTAAGGCTTTTTCATCTTTTACTCAATCATTTGACGAGTGGCATCAAGCTCTTTGCGATTCAAAATGAGCTTGTCATCGATACTCTTCAGGCGCGCCATCAAGTTGTCATGCTCTTGTTGTTTTTGTTTCACCTCGATCAAAATGCTTCTCAACAGCGCGCCAATCGAGGTACCAATGGAGAGGTGCTCAAGCCGGAATCCGTGTCGGAGTGATTGCCACCAAGGAAGAGGAGGGGGCTTCCAAATCACCGAAGACATAGCTACAACAAAAAAAACCAATTATAAGTTACATGGAATAAACCCTATACCTACATTTCAACTATTTTTCATTTTCATTTTCATTTTCAAATCTCTACCCAAATCACAATCCAATCCAAGTTAACATAAGAGTGACTATTCAGTGCTAACAATTGCATCATAAGCATTGTTTCAACCCACCCTTATTGTCTAGAGGTTATTTAGCTAAAATAATCAATAAAATAAAATGTCTCGTCTAATTAATCATTTCATTTTTTCTCTCACAACTATCAAATCAAGTAAAACAAAATATTATTTTAAATATAACTTTTTTAGTCAGACTAAAATAATCAAAAAAGTAAAATAATTAACTGAAATAGCCTATTTTTAAACCGGCCTTTAATGTTGGAAAGTGTATAAAATAGTGTCATGAAAATATGTAAAAATGTGTATTGATTTCAATAAAAATATATTGAATTTAATAAAAAGTGTATTTTGTTCTTCACTTTTTTTTGTCTTTTTACTTATGCCCTAGGACCACTGATTAGCAACACTCAAATCAAAATTTAAAATCAAGATCAAAATTATAAGATAAATGCTAATAAGTGTTCTCAAGCATTGTTTAATGTTGAAAAGTATCATGAAAATATGTGAGAAAGGGTATTGATTTTAACAAAAATATATTAAATTTAATAAAAAGTGCTTTGTGTTCTTCAATTTTTTTATTTTTTACTTGTGCCCTATATTTGTTAACAAAACCCAAATCAAAACTAAAATCAAAATCAATAAACAATATATATATATATATATATACCTATGGAGAGTGCTTTGTGTTCTTTAATTTTTTTATTTTTTACTTGTGCCCTATATTTGTTAACAAAACCCAAATCAAAATCAATAAACAATATATATATATACCTGTGGAGATGAAAAAGAGAAAGGAATGCTTTATTTTTTACTTGTGCCCTATATTTGTTAACAAAACCCAAATCAAAATCAATAAACAATATATATATATACCTGTGGAAATGGAGAAGAGAAAGGAATGCACCGATTGAAACGAGATGACTGAAGCGAGGATGAGAGTGAGAGTTATATATATAACTCCCAAAACTTTTGTTTGTCCAACACTACAACGCGTGAGAGCTGCCGGGAGAGGTACATATATATATATATATATATATAATATAATATAACCCCCAAAACTTTTGTTTGTCCAACACTCCAACGCTCTAACTTATTGCAATTTCCTTTTTTTATGGGTAATTTACATTTTGCCCCGATTATCGTTCACTATTCTTTTACTTTGACACTTAAAATTTAATAATTTTTTTTTTCACTTTGTCTTTTTATATTTTAATTTTTTTACTTTACTTCAAAAGTTAATTTATATTAAAAACTATATAAAAAATGATACATTGACTGTTATGTATTATAAAAATATTTTATTATATATAACTCACATTTCTGACATAAATTCAAATATTAATATAATAATATATTAAATGAGTCTAAAAGTCTGTCTTGAAATTGTTTGTTTAATTAAAGAATCGAGTCCTTGCAAACAGCTAATATTAGAGGTAATCATGGATGGGGTTGGGTCAGATGACATCATATCCCTCATTCGTTCAAAATTAGACAGATAGAAAAAAATCAATTCGCATCCGTCCATCGATTTGACAGATGCAGATTGAGCGGACCGTACAAGTTAGCGGATGGATATGATCGGTATGGCAGTTTGGACTTTATAATTTTTGGGTCTTTTTTTTCAAATTATAATTCATTACTTTTACAATCTCCAAAAATTAATAATTTGAAAAAACAGAAAAAAATTCATTTTTACACGTATACTTTGCCTCGATAATCAAATACATCCCCAGATTTCGAATAATTTAAATTTTACCATCAAAATTTTTGAAATTTTATTAATTTTGTCTCTACCATCACATTTGGAACGGAAAAAGTTAAAAAAAAAAATTATATTTTGGCCCTAAATTTCAAAAAAAAGATTCAAGCCCACAATCTCTAATCCAAAATCACCGTCTCTTATCTTCCTCCAATTCTTCCATCTCTTCTCTGCCCTTGCAAGTGCTGCTACCACCACCAACCACCTTAGCAATCACTCTGTAACGACGCCGCCACATTTAATATTTTACATTTAATTAATTCTTATTATAATTTAATTGTGGAATTCTCAATAAGATGAAACTGACGAATTGCATTATTTTAATGTCAAGTATCGAACCATATGAGAGTTTAATTAAATATCCGATTCGGTTTAGTAAATTTAAAATTTTATTAATTGAGACCGAATTAGAGTTGATTAAGTTATAAAAAGAAAAAAAAAATGTAATTTAAAACAAAAACGGAGCAAGTGGCACGTAGTGTGGTGAGTCACCAGGTTAGATAAGAATGAAATTATGGTGATAAATTTGAAGGAGCGAATTAGAGTTGATTAAGTTATAAAAAGAAAAAAAAATGTAATTTAATTAGGGATTATAATATATATATATATATAAAACATGGTAAATAATTAGTTTAAACGGTGGGCCAAATTACAATTAAGTCAAAAATTAAAATAAATAAATAAATAAAAAAGAGGGCCCTCTATGTTCTCTAGCCTAGCATAGATTGATGAATATGCATGTATAGTTTTAATGACTTAGTGAGTCACCTAATCTAGAGGGACAGGTGGAATAGATGGCCAAGTTGTAACTTGCCACCCGTTAACTGTTGATTAGCATCAACTATAAATAGAGGGGCAGCATACCAGAAATATTAGAAAAGTAAAGGTTAATGGTCAATATTTAGATGAGTTATATTATATCTTGATTTATCATAATATATTTTATATATGTTTTGAATTATCATAATTTATTTTATACAAGTTATGTTTTATAACTTATATTTATATTTTAATTACATTAATTATTTTCTGAACTCCAATTGCTTATATGAAACCCATGGATATGTTTGTTTAAATTTTAGAAATTATTTGATAATGATTTTGTAAGTAATTATTTTCTTTAAGTACCACTATGGGAGTCCCATATCTTGGGAGACTTAAATAACCATTGGCCTCTGTTTGGCCACTTTGTGGTCATCTGTTTGTCATGGATCCATTGACCTCTGTTCTGATTGTCACTCCAGTAATTTTTGTTCTGTTATGTTCTGTATCGTGGTTATGATTATTTTGTTTATATGATCTATGTATTATATGTTTGTTATTCAGAATGATTTTCGTATTTTATATTCTGTATTTTAATATCAAGCTCTGTTTAGCCCGATAATTATCCATGGTGATTTTTATACACCCATGCTCTCGGTATAATATTTTTCACTCTGCCATATGCTTATAGTTGTTTATCACTTTCAGGTGATATGTTAGGACCAGCGCGTTGGGTAGGCACAAGACGCTTTATAATCATAATCTAGGCTCAGGCAATGAGACTAAGTAAATCTCAACCACACAATATAGCACTCTAGGAAACTTTAGGAAAATTTCACTCTAGAGGATCCTTGGTGGATTTTTATACACCCATGCTCTCGGTATAATATTTTTCACTCTGGCATATGCTTATAGTTGTTTATCACTTTCAGGTGATATGTTAGGACCAGCGCGTTGGGTAGGCACAAGACGCTTTATAATCATAATCTAGGCTCAGGCAATGAGACTAAATAGAAGCTTCAATGTATATGTGCTATTATTATTAAATAAAGTTTTTGGTACCTTTTTATTTTACTCCACTACACTATTAATTTGTTATAATTTCAGTTATTATCTTGTTGCAACGCCAAACCTCCGGGTATCGAGTTTGGGTCACGACACACTCAATTCTCCAACCTAACTTCTTTCAAACTCAAATTCACTCACTCACTCACTCCAAATTCTTAACAGTCTTTACTCTCTCTCTTTCTCTCTCACTTCACATGAAGAATCAAACTTCACCAATCACTTCCATTCTACATTCTTTTTATACTCATTTCACAAATCAGAGAAACACCCAAAATGGCCTATATCTCTATATCAAAGCCACTTCTTTCGAAACCTAGATTTTACTTGACTTCAAATCCCATTTCCCTCAAATCTCTCTACTTATTTTGCTTATCTACTCTAGACCCACTAATTGATTCCTCACACTCGTCCAGCGATCCAATCCCAAACCCAGAACGAGACTTCCCTGTTTCAGCTGCACAGACTGTGCTCGAAAAACCCGAATGTTGAAGTGATTGCGAATCAAAGAACCCTAATAGGTAAGGATCGAAACCCAAAAAATTAGAGGATATTATATGTAGAATGATGGCCAATCAGCCTTGGACAATTCATTTACAAAACTCAATTAGGAATTTAATCACTCACTTGTTTATAATGTGTTGTACGGTGCCCGCACTCGAAGCACGCTCTTTATTTTTTTCAGTGGGTTAAGTGAGCTAGGTTGTTCCGGTATGATAAATAGACCCATTACATTACAAGGTAATTGAGATTTTGGGTTGAGCTTCGAAACTCAACCATGCCCAATGTATACTGTTGGATATACCAAAGAAGGGGGTGGAATGGGATAAGGACATGTTTGTTATGTTGATTGATAGCTATGTAAGGCGAGTACTGTTCAAGAGAGTGAAGATTTTTCAGAAAATGGAGGAATTGAGTGTTGAGAGGACGATAAAGTCATATGATACTTTGTTCAAACCCAACTTGTGGCAAGGAGTGTTGCAGGGTAGTGGGAGCCCAAGAATCCTTATTGGTTGCTGCAAACTTCGACGAGTTGGTTGGGCTGATAGTCCTCAATTGCTGAACCCTTCTTGTTTGTCGTGAACTTTGCCTTTTTCATAGTCTAGGGTTTGAGAAATTAAAGTAAGTAAGTGAGTGAATTTGGGTTGAAGAGAAGTTAGGTTGGAGAATTGAGTAATTGCAATGGTGGTTAGTAGTGGTGGCAGGGCTTATAAAGGCAGAGAAGAGAGGGGAAAATTGAAGGAAGATGAGAGATGGTGAGTTTGAGTTGGAGAATGAGGGTTCGCATATTCTTTTGAAATTTGAGGCCAAAATGTAATTTTTTTTTAAAACTTTTTCCATTTCAAATGTGACTGCAGAGGCAAAATTGATAAGATTTTTAAAATTTGGGGGGTGAAATTGAAATTATTTGAAGTCTAGGGGTATAATTGATCATCGAGGCAAAGTATAGTGGCAAAAATGAAATTTTCTTGCAAAAATATATATTATTTGTCTATAATAGGCCATGGTACCACGCATGCATATTTTTAGGTCCCGTTTATTTCTAGAGTTGGAAGATGGGGTTGGAATTAGTAGTGAGGTGGGATTCAAAAAATTATGTTTGTTTTGGAAAGTGGCCATGGGATTAAGAGTCCCATGGAAGGCCTTGGATGAGGGGACTAGTAGTAGCCTAGGGGAGGTGGTATTAAAAAATGAAGAGTGGTGTTATTAGCACCCTATGAATTATTTTGGATCTCCATTTATAAATTTTGAAACTCTTAAAATTTATTTTATCCTCCCAAATAATACCAAAATTATCCTTAAATATTCCACCCATTAAATGCCCACACCCCAAAAAAAACCTCCATTCCAAAAAACCCTAACAACAACCACTAAGAAGAGAAAAAGTCTCATCATTTTCAAAACCTACGACGAACAAGAAGAAGAAACATATTGTCTCTGTCGGTTTAACCATTCTCACAGTTTGTATGCTCTCTCTCTCTCTCTCATTGCTTTTTCAAAATTGAAACTACCGAACTTGAAAAAATAAAATTTCTACAAGTGTTAAGAATTTTAAGCACTGAAAGTGTTAACAAATTTTCATGTTCGGACCTGTATTCCTAAACAAGTAATCTATGTTCGAGAATATATTCACGAACAAATAAGTAATGTTTGGACTTGTATTCTCGAACTTTAAAAAATGAAAACTTTTGCAAGTGTTAACAATTTTGACCGTTCAATGTTTTAAGAAATTTCCATGTTCAGACCTGTATTCCCGAACATTACTTCACTACAAGAAAATGCACTTTTGGTGACTAAAGTTTTAGTCGCCAAAAGTAAGGTTTTTAGTCACCGAAGCCTTTTCCCGACTAAATATTTTGGTCACTAGATTGTCGCGGGAAAACGGTCGGGGAAGGTTTTGGCGACTAAATTCTTTTTAGTCGCCAAAAGTCCTAAAAATGGCTACTAATGTTTTAGTAGGGAAAAGTACGAGGTATTGGTGACTAAATATTTAGTCGCCAAAAGTTTTAAAATAAAATTAATTTTCATTTTCAGCAACTAAAACTTTTAGTCGCCCAAAGTATCATTTATTATTAGCTACTAAATATTTAGTCGCAAAAAAAAATTAATTTTCATATTTTTTTTTAGCTACTAAACTATTTAATTGCCTAAAACCTCATATATTTTTTACTACTAAATTTTTAGTCGCCAAAAAATCTTTGGTTTGTTTTTGGCTACTAAATTTTTAGTAGCCAACAAGTTTTATTTTGTTTTTTTGGCTACTAAACATTTAGTCACCAAAAATTTTATTTAGTGTTTTTTTTATTATTATTAATTTCTGCACAACCTGTATTTATTTCGTGCAACCTGCACCCTATATATAAACAATAATTATACATATATCTATTTCTATTTCGTTTCAACAATACAAAAATTTGATCAATTAACATCAAATTTTATACAAATCATTTTTTGGCTACTAAACATTTAGTCACAAAAAACTTTATTTAGTGTTTTTTTTTATTATTATTAATTTCTGCACAATCTGTATTTATTTCATGCAACCTGCACCCTGTATATAAACAAAACAATACATATGTCTATTTCTATTTCACTTTCAACCATCCAAAAATTTGGTCCTGTAACATCAAATTCTATACAAACCAAATATAATCCAACGCCAAAAAATAATTCCACACAATCAGATAATCATACAAAAATGATGTCCTCCGTATACAAAAAAGAAATATCCACCAGTAATCTATACCACCAGAAAATAACTTCATCTCTGTTGGATCAATAACCATTACAGTAATTGGTAGTGGAAAAGCTCGAGTTTGTAAAAGGCTTCTAGTAACAAGGTCTCATATCTACAATATGAAAATAAATCATTAGATAATTCACCCATCGAAGTCTACAACTTTTCCCAGACCTTAACAAACCTGAAAAATGAGAAAAAGAAAGAAAGGACATGTGTTAAGTGTAAGACAAACAAATGCACCAAGCAAATGAAACAAAAAACTTGGAAGAAGGGTTTCAGTCGTGGTTTTTTAAATCATTAATCGTACCAAACAATTTTTTAGCAATCGAATAAACGATATTGACTATGAATTAGCTATGAACTCATAGGAATCAGAAATGTCTAATAGGCACTTAATTTGCATTCTAACTAGTATATCAGAAGTATTAGTAACGAAAGAATAAAAATTCAATAAAATTCTATTCACTATTTGGCCACTTTCATGCCCACCCAACAATAGGAGATGCAACATGCTTCTAATTTTCAAGAAAAATCGAGATAAAGTGACGATATGACCACATGCTTTTAGACAATATGCGGCATCACGTTGGAATTTGCCATCCCACCATTGGTACTGTTTGATGTAGATGATAGAGCTACTTATAATTTTATTTTCTTTTTTTCATTTCTAAAAATTTGTATCAGGAGTGTTTTGTATAGTTTTTGTTTACAATTTATAAAGCAGAAATATCTTAAATAAATTGAAAACAACTGATTATTAAGAAACAAGAAATAAGTACTTTTAGATTCTGCTTTCTAATTATGAACGTTCAGCTTAATTGTGTGATATTGTTCTGGCTCATACCTGCAGCTTTTGGCATCTCACTCCAGATCCAAATGCGATATCTGTTGATGTAATTGATCAACTTCTGATCTTCTTCACGGCTCCATGCCCCTTTCTTTAAAGTCGTCTTCCCAAAGTGCAGAGTCCTCACCATCTCTGTGAGATTATATCCCAATTTTCATGAGCTCCCAAGTCCTTCCGAAAAGAGTTTATATAGAGAGAGACACACACACATCATCAGCTCACTCACACTTCTTGTACGCAAAGTCACCAAACTTTGTCAAATGATACAATTTTATTGGACCGTGATCCCTTCATTCTAAAATTATAATGGAGAATATCAGATATAGAAAAAAAAAATAATATGTATATATTTTTTTCCCAAACTTTGAAAAAGTCACCAAACATGAAAACTTTTCCAAAAGATGCAATTTTATTCTCATACATATATATATAAATATATATATATATAAATGAGGTGTGGATTATATGTACTCAGTTATGACTTTTGTAGTTTTGATTATTACATATTATGGTATTGGTTATGAAATGATTATGACTCACTGTAGTATTAGTTATATGACTCATTGTGATTAAATAATTTTAATTATATTTTATGCAGTGTTTGGTTATGACTAAAAATAATTTCGTTTTGACATTTGTGCTAGCTTGCATATGATACGCACTCCATTAAGAGTGTATAGTAGCATTTGGCAAGATGGTTGGGATTTATTTAGACCATTAAAAGATAAAATAAGTTAAAAAGTCAATAAAATAAAATGTCATATTCAAAATTTCACTTTCTCTCCTATAAAATTACAAAAAAAAAACCAAAAGTTTAACATGCAAAATCCCAAATCAATAACAATCCAAAATCATCTAACTTGTGCAGCTTAACATGCATAAACATTCTAAGTATGCAATGAATAACAGAAGCCATGCACAACAGAAAAAGAAAAACAATGACTGTGAAACAAAGTTGTCTAATTTGTAAGTAGAAATCTTCATGTAATATTAGCATAGTGATGCTGGACGTCCAGCAAAAGAAAAAGAAAGGCTAGAAAAAAAAAGAAAAAGAAAAGAAGAAACCCTTATTCTCTTATCTCAATATCCAAAATTCAACTCAATATCCCAAACCATTACACAAAAAGCCTATTTATAGGTATCCAAGAAACCCTCAATTAAGAGATACCAAAAATAAACTACAATATTAAAGTTTAATAAAACAATAAAACCTAATAAATATAAACGAACGCTAAAAGAAATTATTAAATTCCTAATCTTCATCCAATTTCTTCTCATTAACCATCACATAGTTCGGAACAAATAGCAAAATCATTTGAGAAAGAAAACAATCAAGAGTAATACAACATTAGTGTTCTTATTCCTACCATCCAAACCACATATAAAGTTAATAGGGATTGGATAGTAATATCAACCAAACAGAAAATGTTCTCTTTCTATAGCTTCCATGAACAAAACATGGCAAAATTATGAATATCTTCAAGGAGACATCATTTCTTTAAGTTCCAGGAATTAGCAAAATAATAGACGCATAACTTCTATCCAATGGATTAACAAGTCCTACCCACAAATCTGAAGGCAAAAATGCTAGACCACAAATCCACTTTCTGTCCCATTCTAACCTCAATTGAATGATTTCTCCTTCTCTTTCTTTGCCCCTCCCCACCCGCAAACCATGCAACAAACATATTATGGGATTGGGTTCCTTAAATTTATTTGTGCCCATTTAATTGGATTACTATCTGGTTTTGGGATTGGTTTCTCTCTGTTGTAAGTAAAGAATTTCATTTGTTCTATTACTTGATTTGATTTCATCCTTTGGTCTTGCCACATTGGCATCATACAAGTCTTGGGATCCCCATTTGCTTTGTTTCAATTTTTGTAGTAAGCGTACCAAAATTTAATCTCTTTTATTTAAACAAAATCTCTATATATAGGCTTGGAAATTTTACACTGTTCTTCAGGTTCAGAGCACATTTTAATAGAGCTAGCTAGCTTGCTTCCTCATGTTCATAGAACCAATTGGTGTTCTCACATAGTAAGATCATAAATCTAGTTGGAGTTTTCACATTATCACTTATGCTTTCTGTTGAAACCCCATCCTTATTAGAATGAATGAAACGGAAGATGTAAAAAATGATCAATTTCTTTTGTGGTCCACCAATAATTCTTCCCCAGGAGAAAAGAGAAAAAAAGAAAATTAGACGTTGCTCAAGTCAAGAGCACTTGTCACTGGATATTTGAACTCAAGTCCAATCTATAGAATTGTCTATTGGATTTCTCTGTAACTTACAGCTAATATGTAATAATTTGAGCACTGAGAGTGAGTATTTGTACTTCTGTAGGCATCCTTTCTTTTGGTCACATAAGGTTATCCTAAAACCCTACCTAACCCGACACCTAGTTAAGATGATGTTCCACTTTTGTATTGAAGGAACCTTACAAAAATTTGTCTTCTTTTATGACTCCATGGGGCTTGGCTAATTATGCAGTGGTTTGATTTGCTATTAATGTCTATCTCTCTAATGATCTTCATTAATGTCTATCTCTCAATAAAATCAATACTCTGTAACAGAGTTACAATGGTGTACATATATTGGTGACCATGTTCAATTGTGAAAGCAGATTCAAACAATTCACAATCAATTTCTTCAAAGTAGATCTACATTACAATGACTTCAACACTAACTAAATCTTGAGGCCTTTTGTCTTGTTGGTTTCATCAAAAACATGATTACATTATCATAATAACACTTCTAGTAAGAAGTGAAAGGGTCTTGAACCCCTACCTTTTTCTTGGAGATATCCTTAGTGGTGCCTTTTTCATATGTTGGTTTATTAAAGATGCATGATGGATTATGCTAGATTTACTCTTTCAGAAGAGTTGTAGCTCGAGCTTTACATTTGTCAAGAGGAGTGGAGAAACCAAGTGGAAGGGCCTCAAATGCAATGGCGTAAAAATTAATATAAGGGAAGTTATATGATAAACGCATAGATGAAATCTCTCAAAAGAAAACTCATTTATCAATGTTTTCCTCCCTCAACAAACAAGGATCTTTCCTCAATCAACTCATCGAATTTGTGATTGGTCATATCGCTGAGTTTCGAGGAGCAACAAAAATAATAAGAGTACAATAATTTATTAAAAAAAATCAAAGAAGATCAACAAATCATTTAAGAGGATATAGATTCATGAGATATCAACAATTCAGCACAATCCCAGAAAGAACATCATCTAATTAATCCCACAATCATTCCCAGACTGATTTAATCATAACCCTCTCGTAAAATCAACAAATTAACTGAAAAAGAATAAACAAAATCTGAAATTTGAAAAAGATCGAGAGTAACAACCCATCAAATAAGATAAACCAACAGTGTCTTTTTGTCGAACACTTTTTAGGCAAACAAACCTATAATCCTAGAGCCCATCATGATCTAATATATAATAGGACAGGAGATAACAGTGTAAATACACCTACCTAACAAAATAAAACCATGAAAATAGTAATAAATTAAAAATATAAACATATAGAACCCAAAAACCAAATTTTGAACTAATCAAGTCAACCCAGAAAAAAATAATAATAGACCATAGATAATGAACCCAACAAAATACTAAAACCCAGATGAATTAAGCAAATGGCATTACTAATCCGTAAAAAAATAAATGAAAACCTCGAAGAGCGGGCATGGTGCAAGAAGCGACGGGCTTAGGCGACTTCTCGACCTGGACAAGGCACGTACGGCAGTTTTCGGCAATGGAGAGGCGGCTGTGGTAGCAGAATCTGGGAATTTCGACGCCGGCGACCTCGCAGGCCTGTAGAACGGTCATCCCCTTTGGGATTTTTATAGCCATCCACGAACACCTCGATCGCGTCTTCCGGGGTTGGAGAAGTGGACCCTAGCTCCTCCCACTGGGGTTCGATTTTGGAGATCATCTAGCGGAGGCTGGGCTTCAGCAGTAGCTTCTGGCTTCTGGAGCTCAGCTGTGGAGACGATGGTTCGAACGATGGTATATCTAGGGTTTGGAGATTTGAAACTCAGGGCTCTGGAAGCTAGCAACCCCAGCCCCATCTCTCTCACTCACTCACTCTCTCTCTCTTTCTCTCTAATAGTGAAAATGTTTCCCGTTTGTTGTGTTGGCAGATCGAATTACGGGGGGCTGTGATGTGTTTCGTTCCGGATTTGGGGTGGTGTAAATATATATTACACCGGAGAGATAGAGAGAGCGGGCATGGTTCCGTTCTGAAGGGAGAGGAGCACCGGAGAGATAGAGAGACGCTGAAGAGAGAGAGAGACAGGTGCTGGTAAAATTTTGGAAACCAAATACATATATATATGGAAAATGTCTCGTAGCTCAAATTTTGTGGCTCAAAAGTGGCTCAAATGGTCAAAACGACGTCGTTTTGGCCATTTTTATGTTGTTCTGTACTCAAAACGACGTCGTTTTGGCCATTTGAGCCACTTTTGAGCCACAAAATTTGAGCTACGTAGCTTTGTCGTATATATATATAGGAAAAAGATTGAGGCCTCAAATTTTTGGCTCAAATTTGGCTCGAATTTTCCCTCTCTTTTTTTTTTTTTTTTGGGTTGATGCTTTGCTTGTTATTATTATTATTATTTTTATTTATTTATTTTTGTAATGTATTAGCCCAGAAAAAAAAAAAATTGCATTTGAGGCAATTTCGAGCCTCAATTTCGAGGCCTCAATCACAGCTCATATATATATTACACCATTAGCGACTAAATGTTTTTGTCGCCAATTACTTTTATAAACCCCTCAAATTTAAATTAGAAACGTCTCCCTCCAATTTTTTTTATTTTTTGGTGACTAAACTAGTTTTTGGTCGCTGAAAATATGTTTTGGCGACTAAATTTTTGGTCGCCAAAGATAGTTTTTTTTTTTAATTTTACATTTGGCGACTAAATATTTTAGTAGCCAATACCTAATATACGACGACTAAACTAATTTTTGGTCGCTGAAAATATGTTTCGGCGACTAAACTTTTGGTCGCCAAAGATAAAAAATAAAATTTTAATTTTACATTCGGCGACTAAAAATAATTTAATAGCCAAAACTTAATATACGGCGACTAAAAAATTTTTTGTCCCTAATTCTAGTGTTTTTAGCGACTAAATTATTTTTTAGTCGCCAATAATCAATATATCCCGACTAAAAAAATTTAGTAGCTAAATATTATACTTTTGGCGACCAAAAAAAAATTTTGGTCGGCAATTCTAAAACTTTTGGCGACTTAATTTTTTTAATTGCCAATTTTAGTCGCCAAAGGTGTATTTTGTTGTAGTGCTTATTTGTTCAGGAACATCTTCCTGAACAAATAAGTAATGTTTGGGCCTGTATTCCTGAACTTGAAAACATGAAAACTTCTAGCATTAACAATTTTGACCATTCATTGTGTTAAGAAATTTCCATATTTTGATCGTTCAATATAGGTAATCAAATGGTTGCCACCATTACCGTTAGAATATTGCTGCCAAAGGTTTTGAGGGTAAGCAGGTTTTCAAAGTGGGAATTGGGAAAAACGGATGATTGGTGATGAAGGTAGTGTTAGTTATTCTCAAGCACCTAGGAGAGGACGAATTTCTGTCTTAAAGACACAGTGTCCAAACACTGGCCTCAATCACAAATTTATTCTTAGTTTGATTCTGCAGAAAAGTTGTAAGTTCTGTCTTGATTTATAATCTGTTTTATTATTCTGTTAAGAATAAAATTCTGTTTTTTTTTTTTTTAATTTGCTCTGTTTTTAATGTTCTGTAAATTCGTTATTCATTGAAGAGATTTATCTAACAGGTAGGTACTCTCATAAACCTTAATTCATGATGTAGTGGGTGTATAGGTTTAATTGTGATATGGATTGTTCCAAAATTAATGATATTCTTTGCAGTAATTTTATTTGAGTTTATTATTGTAATAAAAAAAAAAACTAAAAATTGGGGAGTCCAAAATAATTTATGGGGTGCTAATAGCAGCACTCAAAATGAATCCCTTGGGACTATGGGTTAATTGATTATTTTGCCCTTGTGTGTATTGCTAAATTTGTTATAAGACTTGGAATGAGCCTCATAATATGGCTCATGTAATATTAAACACAAATAATTGAGTAAAATTTTATTCATAGTTAGATTCTTTAATATTTGCACCCCAAAAAAAAAAAGGTGAAAATAACATTGAGTAAAATTTTATTGATAGTTGGATTCATTAATATTAAAAAAAAAAAGGAATAACATTGAGTAAAAAAATTTTGATAGTTAGATTCTTTAATATTTAAAAAGTATAAAAAAAGAAAAGAAAAATAACATTGGGTAAAAATCTATTTATTCTTTAGTTGGTATAATCTTAAATTTGATAATAATGTAAAGGGTATTTGTGAAATTTTAAATGGTTAATCCCACTCCTATTTCTCAGAACAAACCCGAATTATTACTAGTCCACTGGTTATCAAATAAACACAATTTTTTTTAATTTCCTCACTAGCAATCCCCTCACTAACAGACCCCTTCATTCTACCACTGAAAACAAACAGACTCTTAAGATATTGTCTTTCATTTTCACAAAAATATATAATTTATTATTTTTACTCTATATTGTTACTTTTTAGGAATTTTACTTTTTGTTGTTGTTGTTGTGAACTTCATCTATTGGCAAATCGAGTTTATGTGGGTTTTGAATGATTGATTGGCCATTCGAACCGTATTGGTAAATTTAAAAATATTTCATTTGCTCCATCCATCAAAAGATATACCTACACCCAAAATCAATCAAATTAGATTGGATTAGAATTGAATAAATTAGATAGATTCATAATCACCCTAACCCATAGCGATCATTTAGGCTCAATTAAATTATTCCTCGTTCTCTATTTTCCATCCCAAGCAATCATATCCTTTTTGGCTGCCTCCCATCAATTAAACATTATTCTAGGTAATTTTAAAGTGGATAAATTCATTACAAATTGTTGCATAATAAAATGTTCATAATTTTATGATTGATATTATAAAAATTTATAATTTAGATATAATATTTTTTATTATGCCAATATATAATAATATGACATATTTTATAATTAATGTTACAAATTTTGTAATAAAATCGCACTAGGAGTTGACCCGTGCATAATTTTTTTTCTTTTTAAATAATATTTTATAAAATAAAATAAAATAAAATTATTTATATATGTTTATATGTAAATTATTTTTAAAAATATGTTGCAATATGTGTTACAAAAGAATAATATTAATTTTATCATGATATAAAAGATAGCATAAATAAATATATAATAATCTTAATTGAATTATTTATGTATATATATATATATAGAACTATTTAAAATATACATTATGAAATATGCAGTGCAATTTTCATTAGTTTATTATACTTTTGTACTAAACTTTAATATAATAAAATAAATATTTATTTTAATATTAAAAATAATGATTAAATTGGAGAAAAAAAGTCATTTAAAATTAAAGAATGATTCTAATTATTTATTTTGATAATCATTCTATAAAAGTGTTATTTAAATAGGGGGCATTTACATACAAGTCCTATTTTGTGAACTTATAATCCATTAAGTTCTAGATAAAATTATTTGTTCCTTCAAGTCCCATTAATTTTTAATAGACCAATTTACCATTCCAAGACCTCATCCATTGCTGCCAAATATCCATTGTTGTCTTCATTCTCTCTCTCTCTTACTTTCACACCCATTCCCTAACAACAACAACAACCAAACATCCCCTTCTCTCTCATTTGTTTTCTCTCTTCTTTTTTTTTAGTTTCAGTCTCTCTCTCATATAAAAAATTGGAGTCGAGTTCTCTCTAGTCCTCAACGCTTCCGAAGAATTTAGAGAGAGAAAAAGAAGAACAAGAAGAAAACGAGAGAAAGTAGCTGCGACGGCGGCAGAAAGTGGTGGTGAGACCGAAGAGGAGGTGAAGAAAGAGAGGCAGATTGCGCCAAGAGCCATTGGCGAAGTTGCCAAGTGATGAAGTTGTCTGGTGGTGCTTTTTGGGTCGTAGTTTGAGGTTTAGGTTTTTTTAATTTCGGTTGATTTGAGCCGATGATATATGTGGCCTTAAAATTTGATAAAGGCCTATTTTGGGGAAAAAAGAAAAGAAAAAAGAAGTCAGCTTATTAGTTTGTTGATTTATTTGAATTATCAGTGTGTTTAGTTTTATAGTTTTAAAATTGAGAGTATTATCATTTTAAAACTGAAAAAAAATAATAATATTCTCAGTTTTAATACTGAAAAAATTGATTTTTTTTTCAATTTTACTGGATATCTTTGCAAACTGAAATCATTCTCAATTTTAAATTGAGAACATTCTCAGTTTTGGAACTGAGAATATCTCAGTTTTTACCTACAAACCAAATCTCTAGGCCTATCTCTTTTGTTTTCTGACCACACTGTCAAACATGTACTCAGCTGGAGAGTACTAGTAGAATAGATTGCGCCCGAACGACCTATCATAGAAAGATAAGACTTCGGCGGTGGTTCTTCCACCCGGGGGCACTCCGACGATCAAGTCAATACTCAATTATCTCTCAAAGATAATAATTAGTGCTTAACTTACTAACTAGAATACAAAAAGCGTACCTTAGACCTACGAGGGTGCCCTTCTTTTATAGCCAACACTAACTTGATCCCTGTGGGAGCCTAGCTCCTCTTGGACTCTGGCTCAATGCTTTTCCTGAACTCTCCAATAGATAAAGATAAACTCCCTGAGAGCTTTATCCTTATCCAGGCTGAGGTCCTCCCCCATTCTAGGACTCTTATTCCTTATCCGTTCATCTCGGATTTCGGTATCTCCGCAGATAACCTCGGCGCCATGACTAGGACATGTGGCACATCGGCTGGCACTTCAGTGCCACCTTGGTCACGTGTCGTTATTCAAAAAATATGTCCTCACAACTGCCCTCTAGGTTCTATTATCTCGGCATCCTGAGGTGATGGAACCTATATCTTTTGACCATATAGCACGTCGGCTAAGTTTGCTCTATCCTTTATACCGAGGTCATCATTCGTCGGCTCTACATGTCCAAGACTTGTAGTCTATTTTCTCAAATGCCTTTAGAACTAAGAACCAACTTTTTCAAGTTCTTTAACCGAGATCGTCTCCCAAGTCGAGGTCTTTACTTCATTAAATCAAGAATTCCAAGAGTTTTTACACGCGTATGAGCTGCCACGCACAGTAACTCAACCGTTTTCACCACGCGCCTCCTTCTTATTGATCCGTACCTGACACACGCCATTAGGTTGCGTCGCTTCTACGTGCGCCGC